TTTTTCAAAGTTGTTTAGAAAAATTTTCAGGTCAGTCAGCCAAAAACGGATATTTCGAAATTGTACAAAGGGGTTTTTGTGTCGGTAGGGGGTCGAATCCCTAAGAGGTAGCGTCCACCCCCCCCCCCCCCCCCAAGATATCCGCGACTGCGTTCAATCATAAATATTAGATCACTTCGGTTAGAGAATCCTGCTGATTAAAGAATCCTGCTGACTTCACCATGTCATAGCTCGATGTTCGGTGTTCGGAGCAGTTTCAATATGACGCGTTGATAAACTTGAAGTACCTTTTTTTCTGATTTGGCTGAGTGGGTAACGAGAACACCGTTAGCTTATCTATCATATAGGCAGCACTAAATGCTATGATCGTGTATACTCAGCGTATGGCCTGTGGTCTCTAAAACCTAACGATTATACTATATTTATGTCTACAGGTATTCAATAGTGGTGAAGATGCGAGACTGGCTGTGGAGGCAGGAGTAGACGCCATCTGGGTGAGCAACCACGGAGGCCGACAGCTGGACACAGTGCCAGCCACAATCGAGATGTTGCCGGACATAGTGCGGGCAGTTAGGAGTGCAGTCGCTAAGAAGAAAGGGGGTGCTGGTTCATCGGGAGTGGAAGTGTTTGTGGACGGGGGAGTGCGCACTGGCACAGATGTGCTCAAGGCACTAGCACTGGGTGCCAATGCTGTATTCATAGGACGGCCAGTGTTGTGGGGACTCGCTTGTGGGGTGAGAACTGAGCCAGAAATATTCTAAAAGAGCCGCAGCGGCGTGTTATATCAAATCTTATAAAAGAGTCACTGGCCGCTGTGAAAATAGCACTGACAGTTAGTGTCCACGCCACACTTATTTTTGCAAACGATCGGGATCTATGCCAAATTTTGAGTCTTCAGTCAGTCACCTTTCACTTGTGCAGTGTTGCTATTGTATTTTTATTGCATTTGTGAGAGTATGTGTTTAGGGCGAAGAGGGAGTATCAAGGGTGCTTGAGATCCTAAATGAGGAATTGAGATTGTCCATGGCCCTGTCTGGATGCAGGACACTCAGTGACGTCACAAAAGACCTAGTCAGACACCAGAGCTCATTCTCTAACCTATAGAACAGAGAGAGGACTGGACCAGAAAAATAAGAAACTAACCACCCAGAGTAAAGTGGAGAAAATAAAAACCGACAATCAAAACAGCTGGACTTGCGATATGGCATCATCTTGATATTAGTTTTGTATAGTGAACGATCGGATCATTTTCATTATTAGGGTCTGCGTTGTCTCGTCAAAATAATATATTATCGCTTTGAAAACTTGTTATTTTTCACATCCCGCACCGAAGTTTCTCGGATAAAACAGATTATATTGAGAAAATTTTTCCGAAAATAGTGCCATTATAATCGATTGTGTTCAACCACAATAGGCAAAAATTTTCTATTATAAAAAAAAAGAAAGTGGTTTATCTTCATTGCCATTATTCTGCATTATAATTCCTCTAAAGTCTACCTTTATGTACACATAATCTCAATTTTTTTCGCCCTATAATTGCAATAAAATCTATTGTTGTTGGCCTAAAATTAATGAAATTATATTGTTTTTGTCATAAAATTGCCATAAAAGCGCACTAAAATCTATTGCTGTCACCATAAAATTGCCTTTAATTTGCAAAAAAGTCTAGGACCAAAAAAAATTGAAACTGAGCAACACAAAATCAAATTATGAAAATTATCAATTTAAACAAGATTTTATGCACAGTAATTTCAATAATTTCATGAAAATCATCAATACAAACAACATTTTGAGCACAAAAAATAACTACTGGTTGATGCAACTGTTCCAGGGTAAAAATCCCATGTTCCAAAAAGCACAACCGTAAACCGCTCTCCAAAATTTGTTCGAGTCATCTCGCGGTTTGTTAAACAATGCTTTACTATCATTGATTATTTTATGATATTTTTGTATTTGAAATTTCGTTAACATTGATGATTGATATGAGGTTAATGCATATTTTTGTTCCCAAAATCTTTTTTATTGATGATTTTCCTTATGCTTTTGATTTGTTTGTACCTAAAATATTGTATGTTTTGAAGATGTTCTTGAGATTATTGAATATATGTCATACTCATCGGATGAGTAGGCATCTAGAAGCACTGAGAGGGAGGGAGTTTTCATCGCCCTTCTCCTCGAATATGATGTCACGCAATTTTTCGGCTCAAACTTCTTGGGGTGAATCATCTTCGTTTCTGCTACTGCTATTGTCTACTTCATTGGCAAAAACTTCCTCGGGCGGCGATCCAACAAGGTCTCTAGTAGATTCCACGGAACGTTCATTAGGAAGTGCACGAGGATCCGCTATTTCGTCAACCGTTATTTCCTCTGCTTCAGCCTCACCAATTTTTTGTCTGAGCCGTCTAAATAGAGCAATTTGAACTAATTCACAGCTGAGAATGAACAATTCTTATTCCGCAGATTATTTGATAAAATGATCAAGATATGTCAAAGTATATGTCAAATTAAGATACCAACCGACCATTGGCAAGGATGATGTCTTGACGAAGAGGGCGCTCTGTAGGGGCGCTTTTTCGTAAATTATGACACCTGTAATTTCTGACACGTGGAAATCAATCAACTGGAACATACCTCTCCGCCCTATCTCTGCGAGACAGACCTAGCGATATGTTATTCTGGGGTTGTTATCAATTGGTATTGAGCTTGACGAAGTCAAACATACTCGTATGCCACCACGCTTGTTTTTTTGAGATCCAAAGAAGCCCCCGGTAGCTCGTGCTCTATAATTCATAGCATTAGATAGTTTTTTAAGTATCAGATTTAGTAAATTGTCATAAATGAACAGATAAGAAATGATCGAAACGATATAAGTATCAACTCAGTCCGCCAGCTATACGAGTACCTTTTTTCCCTAAATATATCGTTCGAAACAGCTTTGAAAAAATTTACTTGCATGAAAACCAAGATTTAACCTTGTCAACGCAATTTTGTCTATTCCAAGCAAACTTAAGTTAAGTCAAGGTTTGAAGGCGGCCAAATTAGGTCAAGGTCAGAAAAACGTGCCTCTAGATGAGAAGATTGAAAAATATCTCAGGAGTTAAGAATCAGAAGTGAAGAAACAGTAAATCAGAAGTGAAAACATAAAAGAATGAAATCGGAAAAGGGAGATAACAGTTGGGGTGCTTTCTGTGTTTCGGCCATTACTATGCAGTAATTAATTCGCGGGGGGTCGGTAATCCAGGGGGAGGGGATTCTGTCCATAAGGAAGTCAATTAGTGTAGATTTTTCATGCGGGTGAGTGATTTCTCAAATGTTGTGCTCGATGAGCCCCTATACCCCCAGCCAAACTTCACCAAAAGCCACAATTTGGGATTTGACAGGCCTAATTCGGAATAAAGCAGGTTAATTACCTTTGAAGAAACGTTTCAAAACAACCGACCGGCGCATTTTGAGTTAGTTAATTGCGGTATTTGTCTAAAGTGATTGCAATTAGAAACACCTCTCTCACACTTCGTTTTTACCGTGAACCTTCTTTGGTTACACTTGTTTTTACAGTGCTATAAAAGTGAGCTCTTTTTCCTCCTCACCGCCATCCAACTGCAAATTTTCACAAGTAGTTTTACTGTTAATATGGTTCGATTGTTTCAAAAATCAGCAAGCAGACTATTTAGGCCACGACAATTAAATTTCGTTTTCATACACAACCTTTAAAACCCCACGTTACAACATAAATAAGAGCGCGTTTGATGGACCAAACTAACATCCCCCAAATCAGTTTAAAATTAACGCTGGGATGGATGATCTTAACTTCTATGGGGGATGAGGAGCATAATAACTGGATCCCGTTTGATTGAACAATATGGCAAAAAAACGAATCAAGATATAAAAAATAGCGAACGGATAATTTGCTATAAAAAGTAACCAATATTATTGAAATTAGCACACATAAATTAGGATCCATAGAAATGCAAAGAGTTGAAATGAAACAGAAAAGTAAGGAATTGTGCATTGACAACAATTGTACATTGTGTCAACGTTTTTTTTTTAAATTTCACTTGTTTGTTCATTTGTACAGAGGCTATCTAAGCCTAAAAAAAATGAAATTGTTAAACGTTGCGCTCGGTAGCCCGTTAAACGTTAGCCTTTTTGCTGAAAATGTGTCTTTCTTTCAAAATCTAATATTCTATTCCTGTTATAGTATATCTCATCAAGTAAGAGAATTTTTCAATTGAATTTCATTGATTTTTCATTTCATGGTTTCATTTTAAATTTCGCTAAGATTCGGTTAATTTTTTTGTAATTTCAAACAATAACATCTTACTTTTTGTAATATTATGATCAGAAATAACTACTACAACAATGAACCGCGAGTATTTTTGAAATTGTGTCCTATTTTTTAATCACAACTGTCGAATCAAAATACCAGCTCAGATTTATGACTATTGATTCAAAAAGCACACTCCAGTTCAACAACAACTTAATGTCTAGGCATTAGTTCACTATACTATGTTATACTTATATACTTTCAAATTAGTTTATACTACGTTTTCAAAAAATTTTGAAGTAATTTGAATCATAAGATTTTGCTTAATAGCAAAATCAAAAACATGATATAGTACGATAAAAAAAACGATAAAAGTGAGCAAAAAGTGTTTTTAAAAAATTGTCCCGTTTTTCATCGAAACTGTGGAATCAAAACACAACAAGATTTCACAAAGTCATGAAACATCTCCGTTTCTGCTACTGCTAATGCCCACTTCAATGTCAAAAACTTCTACGGGCGGTGATTCATCAACGGCTCTGGTAGAATCAACGGATTGTTCATGTAGTGCTCAAGGATCCGCAATTTCGTGCATCGTCATTTCCCCGGCTTCTACCTCACCAATTTTTTGTCTGAGCCGTCTAAATAGAGCAAACTGAACTAATTCGCAGCTGAAAAATGAACATTTTCTATTACGCAGATTATTTGACAAAGGTAGCAAATTTTTCGCAATTAAGATACTAACCAACCGTTGACGAGGATAAAGCGCCTGATGAGGAAAACAATCAAGTTGCTGGCCGCGCTTTTCTGCGAGGTACGTTACCCACCTCATCCTTAGTTAAGAATCAGAAGTGAAGAAACAGTAAATCAGAAGTGAAAACATAAAAGAATGAAATCGGAAAAGGGAGATAAAAGTTGGGGTGCTTTCTGTGTTTCGGCCTTTACTATGCAGTAATTAATTCGCGGGGGTCGGTAATCCAGGGGGAGGGGATTCTGTCCATATGGAAGTCAATTAGTGTAGATTTTTCATGCGGGTGAGTGATTTCTCAAATGTTGTGCTCGATGAGCCCCTATACCCCCTCCAGCCAAACTTCACCAAAAGCCACAGTTTGGGATTTGACAGGCCTAACTCGGAATAAATCAGGTTAATTACCTTCGAAGAAAAATTTCAAAACGACCGACCGGCGCATTTTGAGTTAGTTAATTGCGGTATTTGTCTAAAGTTATTGCAATTAGAAACCCCTCTCTCACACTTAGTTTTTACCGTGACCCTTCTTTGGTTACACTTGTACTTACAGTGCTATAAAAGTTAATATGGTTCGATTGTTTCAAAAATCAGCAAGCAGACTATTTAGGCCACGACAATTAAATTTCGTTTTTATACACAACCTTTAAAACACCATACTATGTTATTATTATATACTTTCAAATTAGTTTATACTAAGTTTTCAAAAAATTTTGAAGTAATTTGAATCATAAGATTTTGCTTAATAGCAAAATCAAAAACATGATATAGTACGACAAAAAAACGATAAAAGTGAGCAAAAAGTGTTTTTAAAGAATTGTCCCGTTTTTCATCGAAATTGTGGAATCAAAACACAACAAGACTTCACAAAGTCATGAAAATCTCCGTTTCTGCTACTGCTAATGTCCACTTCAATGTCAAAAACTTCTACGGGCGGTGATTCATCAACGGCTCTGGTAGAATCAACGGATTGTTCATGTAGTGCTCAAGGATCCGCAATTTCGTGCATCGTCATTTCCCCGGCTTCTACCTCACCAATTTTTTGTCTGAGCCGTCTAAATAGAGCAAACTGAACTAATTCGCAGCTGAAAAATGAACATTTTCTATTACGCAGATTATTTGACAAAGGTAGCAAATTTTTCGCAATTAAGATACTAACCAACCGTTGACGAGGATAAAGCGCCTGATGAGGAAAACAATCAAGTTGCTGGCCGCGCTTTTCTGCGAGGTACGTTACCCACCTCATCCTTAGTTAAGAATCAGAAGTGAAGAAACAGTAAATCAGAAGTGAAAACATA